GTGCCCTCTCTGTCCTATACTGATTTCTGTGCCCCCCCATCCTCCAACAGCTCCTGTGACTGCGCCTCATCTTTACTTGTGTCCCAAGGCTCTGTAGGGTCTTCTGTGCCCCCCTCTGTGCTCAGTGCCAACTGTGCCCCCCACCCCAGTCTGGCGGTGCCTCGCATACCCCCGTCCTTCTGTCTGCCATGCCCCCGCATCCCACTGTATTTCCTGAGCCCTCTCTGCCTTGCAGTGCCCCCTGTCCCCACTCTGCCCCACAAAACATTTGCAGACCCTCTCGTGCCCCCCCCATCCTGCAGAGCATGCTGTGCCCCCCCACCTCACTGTGCCACGGTGTGTGCTGTGCCCCAAACCCTCCCAACCTCCGGGATCAATCTTGTTATTTCCACTCCCCTAATGCATAGCCCCCTCTGGGTTCCCCCCATCCCTGTGCCACCCCCACAGCACCCCCCTGAGCATCTTAGTGACTTTTATTTTAAAAAAAAGTTCTCTTATAACAAGATTCACCCATCCCCAATTGCTCAGTACAGGGGTGCAGAATGGGTGCCCCCTCCAAACCTTCCCTTACGGGCAGCCCCAGAATCCCAGCCTCGTGTCCTGGCTCCTGGAGTTGGAGGGGGCACACAGGGGTTTGCAGCAGGGGTTGGGATCCTGGTGGGGGTTCCACTCACTTTTCCTGGCCCAGGGGTGAGGAAGCCTCTGCAGGGGGGCTGAGGGGGGGGGCACAGAACCACACCGCGAGCGCCGCTTCTCATTTTCTGTCTCCATCCCCGTGGCGTGCTGATGAGAGGAAAACATTTCTTAAAAACTGCAATAGCAGCACCATGTGTGTGCTGTGTTCTGCAGCCCTCCGTCCTCCCCGCAGCATCGCACGGCCGCACAGAGCCCCCAGCCACGTCTTTGGCTGGGGAAGGCCGGCAGCACCTGCCTGCAGTGGCTCACGGGCAGAGCTGGGAGCAGCCCTACGTCCCAATGCTGCCACAGTGTCCCCTTAGGTTGCGTTTCCTGCGTGTCTCTGTTTTGTCAGGGCAAAAATGGGTAAAAACGGCTAAAAGAGCTGATTTGGGTGTGCCTGGCCATAAAGGCGATGTGCGGGTGGCACTTTGCTGTCGGAGGGAGCAGGGATGCAGGCAGAGGGGGAGAGACCTGATGGATCTGGGGCTGCAGTTACCCTGCGTGGGGCCTGCCTCGTGCTTGGGTGGAGATAGCAGAAAGTGAGGTGTCTTCTGCCACTGGGCCTATGGGGTGCCACCAGGTTATGAGGTGCCTCCAGTGCATGAAACTCAGGTCAGAGCTCAGCTCTGGTTCCTGGGGTGAGGAGGAGTCTCCCAGGATCGCAGTTGTAATTCGTTCTCTTGTAGATGAGCTCGGTGTTGTAGTTACTTCCTATAGAAGCAATGCGAGGGCTTCGTGTTATTGCCTCTGTATTTCTGCTTCCGTTTGAAAAGCCTGAGTGTGCCCCTGCCTTGCAGCCACGCAAAGCAGGCAGTCCCAGCTCACAGCAGGAAGGCAGAGAGCTCAGCTAGATAGTATTTAGGATGTTACTCCAATACGTGTGATAAAAGGGTTTACAGAGAGTGAGAGCACATCCCAAAGTGTTTGTGCTCATACATCCTGATATTTGGGTTGTGCGTGGGGCTGCAGGCAGGCAGTAGGATGCGGTAGGTTTGTTGATGTGCTGAGTTGTCCCTTCAGCTCTGAGCTTTCACACACAGCATGCAAGATGCTCTTCTTAAAACATGCCGTGTATGGATGCCCTTATTTCCTGCTGGAGGCTGAAAGGGCCACGCTGTGTGCAATCAAGGCAGAAGGTGTGAACACGAAGCAAAAGTGCCATTCAACAACAGGTACTAAGAAGACTTTCTGCTTAGCAAAATGATGGTTGGAACCCATCAGACAGGTTTTAAAATTGTATCTCGTTTGTCAGTGCAGCTTTCCTGCAGCTGCCCGATGTTTTCAGACCAAAGAAGCTGCAATGAAACACTTCATGTGATACAGCAGAATGGGAATTATCTCTAAAAAAACTGAAAAAAAGACAGATTTGGGCTATAGGAATCTCAGCTAGGCAGAAACTTGAAAGTAAAATGGCTCACAGACAACAGTTTTTGAAGTTTTATTGGCAATAAATAATATGTTGATGATAATGTTTTGAGTGGTGCGTTAAGTGTGTCATAATTCTCTCGCAGAGCTCTCCAGTTAAAAAGTACTCTGGATATAGCACTGTTTTAATTTAAAAAAGAAAGAAGTTAGATATAAATCACACGCAGGGAAGGAAGTGTGTAATAAACAGCGCTGGGTTTGATTATAATTTTGTGAAATAATGTTGGCTAAGTGTCACATTTGAATTTTAAGTATTAATATTTACACACTACGGGGAGGGAGTCTGCGTGGGACTCACAGACCAGTTGGTAAGGTTGGCCGTGCAAACTGCATCTGCTGGTACTGCTCTGACCGCTCTGCAGTGCCCAGGCAGCAGAGAAATGGGCCTTGTGCACCCAATCCTATTTCCTTTGTGATGTGTGGTAGCCTTTTGTTGGCTGCAGCCATCGGGATTTGGCTCTCTGTTGACCCTGAGAGTTCTTTCTGAAGGCCACGAGGACCCACCCTGCTGGCTGTTGGG